TTTTAGGAATATGGTGTACCAAAGCCCCTTAATATCTTTCAATTTGCCCGAAATTTGGCACAGCGTAATGGAATAGGTCTAGAATGATGTGTGTTAAGTTTCCTGAAAATCGCTTCCGATTTAGATATAGCTCCCATATATATTTTCTACCGATTTAAGGTATATGGTGTACCAAAGTCCCTTAGTATCATTCGATTTGCACGAAATTTGGCACAGCGTAATGAAATAGGTCTAGAATGATGTGTGTTAAGTTTCGTGAAAATCGGTTCAGATTTAGATATAGCTTCTGTATCTGACCAAATGAAAAATTTAGTATCGGTTGCAGAATGAAATGTTTATGAATCCAATTTCATTTTACTGGACCTTTAAAAATTCGACGTTTGTTAGGATGTGTTGAATATACCCAACGTGGTGAAGGGTATCATATAGTCGGCCCCGTCCGACTTTACTACTTTCCTTACTGGTTTAAATCCAAGCATTGTGTGGATCTTTAAAAATATTTTTTTTAAATATTCTTCTTCTTTTGTCAGCTTGAAATAATATTTCCTATCCCAATGTATCCTTCAAGAAAAACTATCCCTCATAGTTGCTTTATTTTTCTGTATTTCCAAGAATTTCCAATCTCCATAAAAATCCTAAAATACACAATTTTGCCAAAAAACTTTAACAATTAGAATATTTTTAATTGGCAAATAACCCTTCCCCTTGCATTATTTCAAACAAAACAAACAGAAACGAATTTGAAAACAATAAAACTTTGTGAGGAAAACTATTAAAAAATAGAAAAAAATACTGTGCATTGTTTTGTTTCTCAGTATTTCATAGTGAACTTAAACTATCAGATTCATAAAGTTTTGCTAGTCACCCATCAGCAACATCATTGTTGCAAATAAGCAATGACGATGATGAGGAGAGGGGTAGGGAGCGAGTACAAAAAATAAAATTTAAACTTTTGTGCAATTGAGTTGCACAAAATTTTCAGCAATACAAAGTTGTGTTTAGTAAAGAAGTTATAATCAGGTGAACTACTGAATCGGAAGGCACGCTACAGGCACTTTTTTAATTTATTAAGAGGGTTATTGGAGCAATTATATAATCTTAAGGTCCCTATCCACCAAATCATGGTAAAACAATACAAATATTCCACTTAGTTTGAAAGTTATGCCACCAGGAAAGTAGTGCGCAAAACTACCCAAAAAAGCGAACATTTTGGGTAATTGTGTAATTTGTAAGATAGCTCCGGTATTTGATGGGCTATATGGATAAAGGTTATACCGATTTAAAGGTTTGACCTTCCTCTTTCCGAATAACATAAAAATATTCCAATAAATTTATTTGGAAGTAGCAATTGGGTCCATGGAGAGAAATGCCCACTTTCATCTTGTCAGAAGCTAAAAGTTACTAAATTGAGTTTTCTAAATTTTTAGGAGGAATTTTTAACGGAATGTCATTATATAGGTATTTAATATAAATCTTGAGGTCCGTAGCAATTAAATAAAACTTGAATCAACAAAATATGTCAATCCGTTCAGAAGTTATGGTTCTGAGAAAATGGTGCGCAAAATTTTTAGAATAATTGCAAATTTTGGGTAATTGTGCAGATTTTAAAATATCTTCGGCAGTTGGTGAGCTATATTGACAAAAGCTATATTAATTTAAAGGCTCGACCTTCCTCTTTCCGAATAACATAAAAATATTCCAATAAATTTATTTGGAAGTAGCAATTGGGTCCATGGAGAGAAATGTTCAATTTCACCTTGACAGAAGCCTAAAGTCACTAAATTAAATTTTCTTAAATTTTAGGAGGAATTTTTAAAAGAATGTTATTAATATATATTTACTATAAATATAAGTCTATACCAACAAAATAAAACATAAATCAATAAAATATGTCAATCTGTTTAGAAGTTATGACCTCTAGAACATAGTACGCAAATTTTTAGAATAATTGCAAATTTTCGGTATGTGTCCAATTTTTCAAATATCTTCGGTAGTTGGTAGGCTATATTAAGAAAAGCGATACTGATTGAAAGGTTTGATCTTTCTCTTTACAAAAATTTTCAAATTATTCCAATACATTAAGTCGGAAGTAGGAATATGATCCTTGGAAAGGAATGTTCAATTTCACCTTGACAGAAGCCTAAAGTCACTAAATTCAGTTTTCTTAAATTTAAGGAGAAATTGTTAAATAAATGTTATTACATAGGTCTTTACTATAAATCGTGAGGCCTATACTAATAAAATAAATCATAAGTCAATAAAATATGTTGATTCGTTCAGAAGATATGGTCCGGAGAAAATTATGCGCAAAATTTTTAGAATAATTGGAAATTTTGGGTAGCTATGCAATTTTTCAAATATCGTCGGTAGTTGGTGGGCTATATAAACAAAAATTATACTGATTGAAAGTTCGGACAGTTCTTTTTCCAAATATTGTCAAAATATACCAATAAAATTGATCGGATATACCAATATGATTCACCGAACAAAGTGTTCAATTTTACCCACATGAAAGATAAAATCTCTTTATATAGAGAAATTAGAAATTTTGGGTAATAGTGCACATTTTGCCATAACCCTAGTATTTGAGGAGCTACATTGACAAAATTTATACGGATGTATAGACAAGCTCTTCCTCTTCCTAAATCTAGTTAAATTATTGCAATAAAATCTATCAAAATTACCATTATGGCCTATGTAACATAATGCCTATGTCTACCAATATACAAGGTACAATAACTCAAAACATATTTCTTTAATTTAGAGAACTGTTCTGTGAAAGTGTAAAACCCTGTAGATCTTTTTAGTAAATTTTGAGGTCTATAGCAATTAAATAAAATTAAAATCATGAAAATATACCGCTCCGTTTAAAAGTTATGACGCCGAGAACATGGTGCGCAATAATGTCTGAGAAATCGATAAATTTGGGTATTTGTTGTATTTTTATTGAATTTTGAGAATGATTTTATTAAATTGAATTTCTTTATTGTGTAGTTTATAAATTCTTGAGGTCCATAGCTTCCAAATAACGTAAAAATCATAAAAATATACCGAGTAGTTTCGAAGTTATCGACCTGCAGAAGTGATGCGCAAAAAAATACAAAATAGTGGCAAATTTTGCGTTCATGATAAATAGCCCCATAGTTTTGGTATTTAGCGGGATATGTTGATAAATGATGTATCAATTTAAATATTTGATCTTCCTCTATCTAAACGTAGTCAACTTGTTCCGAAGAAATTGATTGGAAGTGCGATTATGACCCTTGGAGCCAAGTGCTCATGTTTCCTCTTTTGCAAGGCTCATACATGCATTTTATTTTTTTGTTTGAATTTTATAATGATTTTGTTAAATATAAGTTGTATATTTTTTTATCTATAAAATCTTGAGGACCATACCTTTCAAATAATGTAAAAATCATAAAAATATACCTAGTAGTTTCGAAGTTATGACCCATTAAATATGTTACGCAAAAAATTGGAAAATATTAAAGATTTTTGAGACTTTTGTAAATCGAACAATACTTTAGGTATTTGTTTTGTTATACTGACGTATGATATATCATTTTAAAGGTGAGATGTTACTCTTCAAGAAATCACATAATTAGATTCGAAATTATCCGTATAGTTATTATTTATGGGGCTTTGAAATCAAATTTTAGCTCCCATTAACATCAGAGCGTATAAATGTCGATACCACTCATACGCACCCATTTTCAAAGCGAATTTTAATAATGAGTTTGTTAAATAGAATATCTATATTTTTTCGTTTATTAATTCTTGAGGTCCCTACCTTTCAAATAGCGTAAAAATCATAAAAATATACCGAGTAGTTTCGAAGTTATGCCCGCTTAAATATGTTACACAAAATATGGGGAAAAATTGAAGATTTTTGAGACTTTTGTAAATGGAGAAATATTTTAAGTATTTGTTTGGTTATACTGACATATGATATACCATTTTAAAGGGGAGATTTTGTACTTTAAGAAAACACACAATTAGGTCCGAAATTATCCGAATATCTATTAATTATGAGTCTTTGAAATCTAATTTAAGGTCTCATTAACATCAGAGCGTATACGTTTTGTCACCACTCATACGCACCCATTTTCAATGCAATAATCAAGGAATTTATTATTTTTTGTTGGTGCTACGTAGGGTACACACACATAACATTCATAAACACACACACACATACGTACCCAGGAACATTGTGTGTATGTGACAAATACTTAAAATAACAATGAACGAAAAATTCTATTTCTTCGTTATTTCTTCTTCAAGAATTCTATGTTGTGAAAGAAATGTGACTTTGTTGGTGTGTGTGCGTGAGGAACTATAAAGATGCTATTGTTCTGTGGTGGTGTTGGTGTGATATCTTTTGGTTTTCGCTTACAACTTTGTTGTATTGTTTCCTAAGTGAAGAAAAAAACTTGTATGTCTTCAGTGTGAGTGAATGCGTGCAAGTACCATTAAACTACTATTGAGCGAACAGAACTGAGCAACATAACAGAATTCCAGAAGTGGAAATCTATTGAAAAATCTACCGGAATAAAAAACAAAACTTAAACTAAAATAAATCAAAGAAGTCACGTTCACATAATACAGAGATATACAAATAATATTGCATTTCAGTGCCAGGGTATTTACACTACACGGAAATTGGAGGGCGTGTGAGGGTGGAGGAGAAAATCAAATAAATAATCATCAGAAGAGAGCAATGCACTTTGAGATAAGGTTTACGGAACTGGAGAAGCGATAGTGGCATGCAAAATAATATATAAAAATTAAAAGTATTTATTTTTTAATTTAAAAAAAAACATATTTTGGATTGGATTTTTCTAATAAAAAAATATATTTTATTGGTGAACAATTGGTTACGATTTGCTTCTAATGGGGATTTCTTTTGCTGCACATTGCTCTAACACTAATATGTTGATTCTATTCACATACATCTAAATATTGTGTTTATTTTTTTTTTTTATAAAAATTTCAAAACTTACAGTATTGGAATTTTTTGCATGATTGCAAACCATCTCCGATTCCAAGCCATCTAAATGGGTAAGACTTTTGGATTTTAACTGGAAAGGGAAAAACGGAAGAAGAAGAAAAATAATTAATTTTTTGTTATATGAAATGTAATAATAAAAAAATAAAAATTGTAAAATAAATAAAAAATATCTGAAAACATAAAATTGATTACGAATTAAAAATCAATACTAATTTTTTTAATAAAAAGTTAACACAAGGCGTGGATTTTTATACCCTTCACCACACTGTGGTAGGTTATTATGTCTTTGTGCATATTTTTGTAACAGGCAAAAGGAAACGATATAGTCACTTGGCTCCTTTTGAGAATATTCATAGAATCACTTTCTCAGTCGATTTACACATGTCCGTCTTTCTTTCCGTCCGTCTGTCCGTCCATGTATTTTTGTGAACAAAGTACAGGTCGCATTTATGATCCGATTTGATTGAAATTTGGCATAGGTCACTTATTTGGCCCAAGGATGAACCCTATTGAAATTGGGAAAACTCGGTTCAGATTTAGATATAGCTCCCATATATATTTTCATCCGATTTAAGGCTAATGGTGTACCAACGTCCCTATAAATTTTTCGAAATGCACGAAATTTGGCACAGCGTAATGAAATAGGTATAGAATGATGTGTGTTAAGTTTCCTGAAAATCGGTTCAGATTTAGATATAGCTCCCATATATAGTTTCGTCCGATTTTAGGTAAATGAATCACCGAAGTCCCTATACATCTTTAGATTTGCACGAAATTTGGCACAGAGTAATGAATTAGGTTTAGAATGATGCGTGTTAAGTTTCGTGAAAATCGGTTCAGATTTAGATATAGCTCCCATATATAGTCTCGTCCGATTTTACATAAATGCTGCGCCAAACTCTTAATGTTTGTCCGATTAACACGAAATTTTGCACAACGTATCAAATTGAGACTTGAATGTCGTTCTTGGGTTTTGCTGAAATTGGTGCAGATGCAGCCATAGTTTCCACATGTATTTCGAATGGTTGTCTGATTAGAATTAAATTTTGAACAGTGCGGCGTACCGAATAGCTTGTATCAATTTTGTTATAAATCGTTTTCCACAACTTTTTCCCATCGTACACAGACGACTCTAAATCTGCCCGAATGAAATGAAAATTTAACATAGGTTGCAGAAAGACATGAGTATGTTCCGCCGATGCAACATTGACATACAATTGTAAGGATACATATGTACCATATATACCCAAAATGGTGAAGAGTATCATATAGTCGGCCCAGTCCGACTTTACTACTTTCCTTACTGGTTTAAAAAATATTTTTGAAGGTCCTACACAAGGTGTGGATTTTTTAAAAAATATTTTTTTCAAATAAATAATAAATTCAAGGAAATCTATGCCTAGTGCGTATGATTATTATTAATTCATCATATAATTGGGGCGTATGATTATTGTTTTGTAATTTCTTTTTATTTCCAATACTCATACGCCCATTAGAATGCACTATTGAATTGAACATACATACAAATTTAGTTTCATAAATATTTTAATTCCATATTTTATGCAAACCTTGAAGCAATTTCGTAAATCGCATTAACACTCCCTCTCCAGAATACAAATTTAATGCAAAAAAGAAAAATTCGTTAACACTCCCCCCTTTGGGGAATTGTTGTCGATGATTATTATGATATGCTTTGTTTCTCGAGAAAAAATTGAAGCAAAAAACCCCGAAACAGAGAATGGCATTGAATTGCGAAATAAAATAAAGAACACTTTTTATTTAATAAAAAGCTTACAGATGAAACTCTTGTCAATCCTAAAATAGTTATAGCGTAGCAAAAAGCATTGACAAGAAAAAAAAAGTAAAAAACCGTGAATCGCAATCGTAATCTCAAAATAATATACAAACGTACGTACGTACGAACGTCAACACAATTGAAAAATGTTGTAAATCTAACCTTGAACCGTATCCTTCAAAAATTCGCCAAACAAAATGGATCGAAACACCCAGCCATCCAACTGGCATTCGTTTGCTCGCGTACAGCGACATGTTTGCTGCACGTTTTGCCCCCTTCGAGCTGTCTATTCTCAGCTATTACAACTAATACAACTTTTCCGCCTGCCGCGTCACCCACCCCAGAAGCAAATCTTGGTAAATATCACAGTTGTCTGGCGGGATGTGTCCTTAAAGCCACACACAATCACAAAAATAAAAATATATTTTTTGATACAATAACAAACAACAACAATACACATAAAAATATTGTATCCTTGTGTTGGTGTGTCGCAGAGTTTTAGTTTTTTGGAGGGATGTACTAGAGCTTATATTTCAAAACTAGATTTATGGAAGTACCGAATAAAATGGAATAAAGCAAATTCACAACTGTCTCTTGTTATCCAGTACACTGCACAACACAACAATGGCGGGGTAACTTAGTTATGGCCTACAGGGACAACTGAAGTGAAAGATTGCCACGGAAAGCAGTCAACAAACTTAGTTCTCCTTCCAACATGGGGTACCAACCAACGACACCAAAATGCTGTCAAATTTAATATTATTGTGGTTTGACATAATAAAATGGTGGAGGCAAAACAGTGGTTTTCAGGAAATTTTGAAGGAAAACCTAAACAAATAATTCGCAACGTATACGTGGTGACAAAAATCATACGCCCAGGTGACCCCCTAATGAAACAAAAAATACGCTCTAGGGAAAGGGTATATCAATATACAAGGCGTGGATTAAAAAAAATATTTTTAAAGATTTTCAGAAGGCGAGGATTTTTAAAAAATATTTTTTCAGGATCCTTACAAGGCGTGTATATGTAAAAATTAAGCGAAAGAGTGCCACGGAAAGCAGTCAACAAACTTAGTTTGCCCCCAACATGGTACCAACCAACGACACCAAAATGCTGTCAAATTTAATATTATTGTGCTTTGACATAATCGAATGGTGATGATTTTCAGGAAATTTTGGAGGAAAGCCTAAAAAATAATTCGAAACGTATACGTGTTGACAGAAATCATACGCCCAGTTGACTCCCAAACAAAGTATACGCCCTAGGGCAATTTGCTTACATAGCTGGCTTGTGACAGAACTTTCATTCCATAAGCCGAGCTTAGAAAAGATTTCCAGGCGCGTCAGTCTTTTGCGCAGTTTTTCTAATTTTCGGCGATGTTGTCTTCGACTTGATCTTTCCAACGTGTTTTCTTGACCTTCCCCTTCTGCGTGAACCATCAGCTAGTTCGCTTTGATATGCCTTCTGGGCTGGGACATCTTCATCCATTCTCACAACATGACCTAGCCAACATAGTCGCTGCAGCTCAATGCGTCTAACAATGTCGATGTCCGAAAATTCCTGGTACAACTCATGGTTCATTCGACGGCGGTATTCACCGCTCAAACACTCCAAGAGCTGCCTCATTGGCTTGCGTGAGTACCCATGCTTCAGATCCGTATAACAGCACGGGTAGTATCAGCTTCTTGTAGAGTGTGAGTTTGGTCTGACGGGAGGTGGCCTTGCTTTTGAGTTGTTTGCTCAGACCATAGTGGCATAGGTTGGCCATCACTATCCTTCTCCGAATTTCAAAACTGATGTCATTCGTTTTGTTTGTGGCGGTACCAGGTATATAAAATACCTCGAAGCTGTAGTTCTCAGGTCTTGCGCGTTGATACCATCAGCTTGGTCTTCTCGCCGTTTACTGCAAGACCCACTTTGGCAGACTACTTCTCAATTTGTTCAAAGGTGGCTGTTACCGCTCTCAGTGTTCGACCCATCATCGGCAGCGTATGCGAGTAACATGTGTTGTTTGGTGTACAGAGTACCATTTCTGTTCACTTTTGCCTCTCGTATGACCTTTTCCAGCAGGATGTTAAAAAGGTCACACGACAAACTTTCACCTTGTCTGAATCCTCGTTCGGTATTAAAGGGCTCCGAGAGGTCCTTTCCTACTTTAACTGCTGATCTTGTGCCAGTTAAAGTTATCCTGCATAGCCGAATTTATTTTGCAAACGCAGACATGACTTTATCAACCTCTGAACGGATAGGGCATTCGAATGCGGCTTTATAGTCGACGAATAGGTGGAATGTATCGATGTGTTTTTCGTAGGTTTTTTCCAGGATTTGGCGCAGAGTGAAAATCTGGTGGATTTGCCAGGTCTGAAGCCACATTGGTATGGTCCAATAATGTCATTGACCATTTGCTTCAATCGTTCACACAGCACACTGGATAGCACTTTATATGCGATGGGAAGACGGCTAATTCCTCTATAGTTCGCACATATCGTCTTGTCTCATTTTTGTGCACGGGACACAGGATGCTGAGGTTCCAATCATTGGGACTTCATTCTGACTCCGGTACATCTCGATTTGCTCACGCTCACGTTTTTCTTGTTCTTTCTTCTTTTTTCTGAAAATACGTTTCTCCTCTCTCCTTTTTCCCGATAGTTCTCCATCGCATTACGTGTTGTTTCTGTCCGCAGGGTTGCCCTATACGCTGCGTTTTTCATATCAGTAGCATTACGACTCTCCTGATCGTACCACGGATTTCTTGATGGTGGTCTTTGGTACCCAAGTGTTGCTTTGCTGCAGTTTGTAGGGAGTGGGCAATTCTTTGCCATGGTGTTTCTATATTATTATCGGGACAAGGGTCAAGCAGTTGGATAAGTTGAGCGAAGTAGGCTTCTGCTATCTGTTCTGTTTGCAGCTTTTCGACGTCAAATTTTGCGTGTTACATTAGATCACACCTTTGCTGCTACATTAAGACGGACTCATACCTTGGCTGCCACATGGTAATGGTCCGAATCGATATTCGCTCCCCGTATCGATCGGACGTCTAAAACACTGGATGAATGCCTTCCGTCCACCACAACATGATCGATTTGATTTCTCGTTGTTCGATCGGGAGAAATCCAAGTGGCCTTGGGTATACCGAGATGCTTGAATCTGGTGCTGCTAACTACCATGTTTTTTTGCTGCCGCGAAGCCAATCAACCTAATGCAGTTGTCTGATGTTTCTTCATGGAGGCTAAATTTTTCAACGGTGGGGCCAAAGATATTTTCCCTTTTTGCA